AAAAAAAAAAAAAAAAAAAAAAAAAAAAAAAAAAGGAATTTCTACTTTAGGGCCGGCTCGGTGGCGCACTCGGGAGAGTGCGGCGCTGGGAGCTCAGCGACGCTCCCGCCGTGGGTTCGGATCCTATATAGGACTGGCCGGTGCGCTCACTGTCTGAGCGCGGTGTGGGCGACACCACACCGAAGGGTTGCGATCCCCTTACCGGTCAAAAAAAAAAAAAAAAGAATTATTATTATTTTTAGAGATGATCATGGTTTTTAATGAGTCTTCTAATGTGTTGTAGAGAGTTGTTATGTTTTTTTGTTTGTTTGTTTGTTTGTTTTTGTGACCGGTAAGGGGATCGCAACCCTTCGGTGTGGTGTCGCCCACACCGTGCTCAGACAGTGAGCGCACCGGCCAGTCCTATATAGGATCCGAACCCACGGCGGGAGCGTCGCTGAGCTCCCAGCGCCGCACTCTCCCGAGTGCGCCACCGAGCCGGCCCTAAAGTAGAAATTCTGAAAGAACCTACCTCATGAGTTTTGAAAGGGACTATGCATATGAAATAGCATAATACCTGATTCATAGTAAGGACTCAAAGAAAGCTAACCATTATGACTCTTTAATTAAAGTGTGTCTTATCTATAATGAGTAGACATATTCAAGAGGTGAAAAGCTGGGGGGCTTGGAGTGGACTTTAAGAGACATCTTTTGTAGATACCTACTCTACTTTGAAACATCAGAGATAGGTTTCCTTCTAAATGCCCATAATCCTTACAGTGCCACATCTATTTAATTGTTGAGTTCTGTCTTTACCTTCTTTTTATCTCCAATGAGTTTGAGAACCAAGGAATTGCAGAAGTGATTCAGAGTTGCTGGAACCTTCAGAATGAGTGCTCAAGAAGTAGGTGATTCTGGAAAAAAAGGACCCCTCCTAGACATCTTTAATTTTAGCTTAGTTTTTCTTTGGCACAAACCAAATAGAATCTGGCTTATTAAAAACTATAAGCTGATTAAGGGTAGAATTCATGACTAATTCCCTTTTTAAAAATCTTGCACAGCACCTAGGTCTGTGCCTTGAACTTAGTAGGTACCTGGTACTAATTTATTTCATGAATAAAATTAATAGATGAATATGTTGTTATTATCCCCAGATACTTTTTTGAGTGTCTGATCAGTATAGATTTACTAAAAGATTTGAAGAAAAAAAACAAAACAGTCTGGAAAAGCTGAAAATCTAATCTGGGTATGGAGGAAGGTTGTACACAGACACTCAGTCATAGGTATGCAGTTATGACTAACAGATCTAGGAAGCCAAGCTGTGGCGAGGTGCTAATGGCCATAGTAGAGCAAGTTGCCCTTCCTTCTTCCTGCCTGTCCCACTCCAATGAACAGGTGTGCTCAAATGTATGAAACGCCATCATGTTAGCTTATGCTTGATGCTTGATTACCATAGGGAATGCAATTCAGACAAAGTTTTCAGCTCTGACCGGTGTCATTCATTTAATCCTTTCACATGTTGCTGAAACCCCCCTCTCTGGCTTTTCAAGAGCTTCTGAGCATTTTAAGCCTTATTTTGTATACTTTGACTTAGAACATCTGTTCACACCACCTTTGTGAATTCCCGTGATGTATTCTGGCTACTGTTAAAAGTATTTATGGGACAGAACATTTTAACTGCCTGCTTGGTATTTTACAGGGGCTGTGAACAGTCCTCCAAAGCTTGCATTCTGTGGTGCATCGGTTCAGTCATTAATGAGGCAAAAGCTCATGTCATAGCCTTCCTATTTAATTCAGGGCATGCTTCTGAAGGACCACATTGAGTCAATGTCGAGGCAACAGCATAGTCCAGCACTTGGCACTCTGAAAGCACACTCCCCTCTGGGCTCACTGTTACCACTGAAAG